TAAATAAAATTTAAGGAATGGAAATTTCATAGTGCCCTAGTCATAAAATATCTCTTTCAGGGAAATTTATAACACCACGTGCATGAAGAGGAAAAGTCTCAGATCAATCTTCTAAGCTCCCATTTAAGAAACTAGAAAAAGAGGGGCGCCTGGGTGGCTCAGTCAGTTAAGCGTCTGCCTTTGGCTCGGGTCATGATCCCTGGGTCCTGGGATTGAGTCCCGCATCGGGCTCCCTGCTCCACAGGATGTCTGCTTCTCCCTCTCCCACTCCCCCTGCTTGTGTCCCCTCTCTGGCTGTGTCTCTCTCTGTCAAATAAGTAAATAAAATCTTTTAAAAAAAAAAATAGATACAAGGTAAAGAAAATAAATAGCATGTTCTTTATTCTCTGTAGATTTATGAAGGTTTTAATCATCCTAGAAAAAAATAGTGACAGTAGTAATCAAGAGCAAAATAAGACCTCCTTAATTTTGATTATAATCTATTCTAGTTCACTAAATTTCTTTCCTAAGACCACCAAGTTTCCAGAATCCCCAGTCTGTAGAGTTCAACCTAGGCATTTGTAGGAGAAATGACAGTAAGTAGGAGGCCCAGGGATGAGAGATTTGCTGTGCCAAAGGAAAAGCAAAGATCAAAAAGTAATTTGAATGAACACAATTGTCAAGAATCAGGGAAGCAGGAGGGAAAGTTGCTTGGCTTAGCGAGTGGTTAGAGGGCAGTGAGTTAGATATTGTAATTAGTCTGCTAGTCAGGAGTTCCTCTTCTCCTTATAACTCTCCTTATTTTTGTATAGATAACTATACTACCCCAATGTAGCACATGTACTTTGGGGGAAGCCAACTCCATCACTGGCTCTAGTAGTCAGGCCTAAGTGAACCATAATCCCACTCAAAAGACAGAGTTTTAAAAGATGGGCACTTAACTTAGTTAGGACCTATGGGACACAAAGAACAGTTTTGGGAGAATATCTGAAAAGCTCCCTCACTCCCCCAGAAACAACCCAAGCACAGTCTAAACAAGGAGGCAAAGCACATGGACTTCCATGAGTCAGTCTTAAGATAAAGCTGATACCATCTGGGACGCAAAATGCAAACAAGCAGATCTTTGATGATACCATGGAGTATGTAGGTCATACCTACTCTAAAACTGCCACACTACTGCCAAATTTCTCCTTTATTATTTAAGTAAATTTGCCCAGGATTTTTTCCTCTTGCAACCAGAAACATCTTAATATATCAGAGATGCAAAGACTCCTGATTCATCACAGAGAAACTTGAAAATATTCAACAGATGAGGTTATTAAGGTTAAATTCATATTCTTAACAGAAGTTGTTGTTATGTGCATTTACTCTAAGGCTGCAACTATTCATGAGCCAAGTGACAAGAGCAGAAATCCTTGATGTACAACCTTAGAGGAAATCATGTTAAAAAAACTATAAATGGGTGAATATACCTACCAGTTTGATCAGGACAGTCACAATTCACACTTATTTTCCTGCCATCATTATTACTAGAAGCCCATAATGCTCTAAAGCATGTTTTTTGGATTTGTAAAATATTCTCTTCAGAAAAGTAACAGTAATCCAAGGAAATGGCTGGAGACCTTTAAAAGGTAAAACGATTCCATCTTTAAGAACTGTGATTGGTTTATGAAGAAAGTGTACTAGGAAAAATGTCTGTGTCTATGAAGAATTAATACTTTCGGGTGTCATTTTTTATTATAATTACATTACTGTAATTTCCTTCTACTGAACTGGTGCTATGGGGATGAATACTTGGGTCACAGGGACCCTCATCTGTAATAAGAACAAGGTAATTCTTACGCACACATAACAGGGAGCAAGATTTGAAAGCACTGGCAGGTTCTTAAATACACAGATACTTATTCTATTATCTGCCACTATGTCTAGAATACCTCTGTCCTCCAAACTCATTTATTTAGGTTCTAATTTCTTTAGTCCTCTATTAAACTAGACTCCTACCACACTACCCACTAATGATAATATCTTATCAGAAGGGAACTGGCATTGGCATTTGGAAACAAAGCCCCCAGGACAGGAGCAAGATGGAGTCAAGAAAGAAGAAGGGGTACCTGGTGCTCAACAAGAGGCTGAAAAGTCAGGCTCTGCTTAGGGCATCCATGGCCTAGCTTACTTAAGCAACCCCTGTCATTTGTACCTTTGTTTTCCTCCACAGATAATTCCACCTCAGAAGTCACAAAAGCTTGGAAAAAACCATACTTAATACTTATTATTGCTTTAGTACTACTTTCAAAGACTGTGTTCGTTTGGCTTTATGATGCTGTGATTTTTGTATAAACACACACACTGGTTAGATAATCAAGGTTCGGGGTAAAAGGCAACCAGATAACCTTTTCCCACAAGATGGCCAGCACTTTCAGCGTCTTTCTGCACAGATGAGATAGGGCTGGGGTTGCAATGTCATGCCTAATCTGGGCTTCAGATCTGGAACCAGCCCGTGCGGGAAATGCAAGTGAAACCGCTGGAGCAATGCTGTGAAAAACAGGAACATCTCCATCCGAGCCAGCTGCTCTCCAAGGCAATGTCTTTTCCCTAAACAGAAAAGAACAGACACAATTTTTTAAAATCCATAGTATTTACCAAAATTTACGTCTACTATATGGGTACCATTCAGGAAATCTGGTATTTAAAGAAAGTTAGAGGCAGTTATGTTTATTAAAGAGAATAACAATTGGCACTTCAGCTCCCAGAGCCCATTTCTTTACCTTCTCTTGTCAGATCATGGGCTTCTGTAAGCTTATTAATCCACTTCCACACTTCCCTTGGACTTTGCAACACAGCCCAAGATATGCCATGAAAGATCCAATCTCAGGCATGCCATTTTGTTCTAGATCCAGGAGAAGTGTATTTCATTTCAAATGACTAAATGTGAACCCTTCCCCAATGAAAGGAAGAGTTTTCAGTCTGTCTTCCATGGGTCTCGTGGTCCGTGGACTTTTTCACAGACAGCAAGAGGAACCAAGCAATATTTTTGGAGATGAGGTACAATAAATAAGGAGCCAAAAGAGCTATGTTTCAGTTGCACTTCAAATTCTGATGTCATTTCTTCCCCCGGGTCTCAGTTTCTCAAGCTACCTATTACCGACTTCTAGCTCTACAAGTTTTGATTACAAGCTCAAATCCACAAGCAAAAAAGTTTCAGAAGAAGCCAGAGCTTCTCAACCATTTCTTTCTAGTTACTAAGTTAAGTGTTGAGGAGAAACAGGTGTTAATGACTTTCTAATTAAACCAGTCTCTCCTGTAAGAATCAATGCTGTGTTTTCAGAGTTGGAATCTTTAATTCTACAACAGAATATTTCAGATTAAGATGTCATACATGATCAACCATTATCCTGTCCCAAAGTCGTGTCTCTGTGAAAGTTCTCTTACCTAGGGAAAAAGGAACCAAAGCCTCCTTCTTGGCAAAATATCCACTGCTGTCCAGAAATCGCTCAGGAGAGAATATTTCTGGGTTTCTCCAGTACTTTTCATCAAAGTGTACAGAATAAAGGTTGGTAATTACTGTTGTGCCTTTAGGAATGGAATAACCACGTACAACTGCATCTTCAGAGGTTGCATGGAAAATCCCTAATGGCACTATATTACAGAATCTTAAAACTTCATGCAAAACTGCCTCCGTATAAGGCATTTTGCTTTTGTCATCCCAAGAAGGCTTCCCAGTGGGTCCCATAACTAAATCGATCTCTTTCTGAACTTGTCCTGTCAGAGAAAAAGTGTTCAAGTTATTATGCAATTCTTAGAACTATATCCAAAGTAATTTCCCTTTGGGTAACCTATAATAAGTCAACAAGGTATGGTTACAACCAGATTCGGATTTTTCATTATCTGGGAGTTCTACCTAAAAATATGCCATCTATTGTGTGCCACCAGAAAGCAATGCTCTGAGTACCTTTGCTGTGAAAAAAACACTAAAAGTAATAAAAATAAAAATTAAACAAACCTACAATTGAAATAATATCACTCTCAGCGAGGGAAATAGTGAAACATAAAACTTGAATTAAAAAAAAAGCAGGGTTCAGGTCCCAGCTCTGCCACTTCCAAGGGCTGATCTTGGGCAAGGCAGCTAGTTAGCCTTTTCCCTCATTTTTATAAAACAGGCATAAGACCTATCTCTGAGGTTTTTACACGACTTGAGAGAACAGATGTGAAACTCTTTATAACTATGAAATGTTGGGGCGCCTGGGTGGCTCAGTCGTTGGGCGTCTGCCTTCGGCTCGGGTCATGGTCCCGGGGTCTGGGGATCGAGCCCTGCATCGGGCTCCCTGCTCCACAGGAGGCCTGCTTCTCTCTCTCCCCCACTGTGTTCCCTCTCTCGCTGTGTCTCTCTCTGTCAAATGAATGAATAAAATCTTTATTAAAAAAAACAAACTATGAAATGTTTTTCTTCTTGGCTAGCACAGCAGAAATTCCTAAATAAAATGCTTTGTACATAGCCAAAGACTCTGTACATAGCCAAAGACTCTAAAACATGTGTGAGCCCTAAATGTAGGGACAGTCCTGAGATCAAGAGGATCCTCACCTTGAATGTTAGGATAAAGGGCCATGAAAAGAATTGCCCACCGTAGCACATTGGTTGTAGTTTCGGTTCCAGCAATGATGAGTTCCCCCACGGAAAAAATGAGGTTTTCTTTGGAGAAAGTACATGATGGGTCATTTTTACCTTGATACATCTCATCTAAATAAGCATCAACAAAATGCTGAGGTGACTGAGGCTTTCTGTTGATGGAAGCTTTTTCAATAAGCCTGGAGAGAAAATCATAGACCACAGCTGCATTTCTAAATAGCTGTTGATGTTTTCCAAAAGGTAAGATGCCAATCCATGGAAAGGCATTATACAGGAAGACTGAGGCACTGGCAGCCAGTTCCACATTTCCACTAAATAACTCAATCATGTGCTGAAAATCAGTGTCTTCGTAAGTGAATCGTTCTCCAAAAATGATCAGATTGGTTATGTTTGAAACAGCATTTGTTATTAATTGTTTAAAGTTAAATGGTCTACCTTTGTATGTTTCAATAAAATCAATAAAAAATTTGGTTTCTTCTAAGATTTTAGATTCAAAAGACTTTTGGCCATATCCAAAATAGCGAAAGCTATTTACAGCTAATTTTCTGTGATCAACCCATCCTCGGCCATATCTGGAATTGAGTAAGCCTGGAAAAAAAACAAAGTATTAAAAAAACTTTATCATTCCTACATTCCTGTATCTAACACCTGAAAATGCTATGGAGTAAAAAAGGATGGTTAGTCATTCTTCTCCAAATTATCTTTCTATAAAACTAAAACTAGACCAAAAAAAAAAAAAACCAAAAACTAAAACTAGACCTAGTGCTTAAGCCCTGTTCTTTGCTAATCATTAGCCACAGAATATTGTCAACAGATAAAGCTGGTCTTCTTTTTATCTGGAGACAGGCAGAAAAGACCTGTAATTCTCCTACCACAAGAAACTGGACAGTCCTATGTAATTCATCCTAGGTGAACTAGACCCGATGACTTTATTGTCTAGCTATTACTCTAAGCCTCATCTACAAAAGACAAACCACTGCATGTTCTCTGGGCAAATTTTATCTTGGACTAAGAAAACAACTGAAAACCATCCTTGTAGGATTAGAAAATTTTCTGTTTCTGTTTCTAGATTTTAGAACACAGATTCTCTCCTGTTAAAGGCATATGTTACCTAACAAGGTAACTCTGGAAGAGGCTAAGGAAGCCTGAATGAGGTGTCAGTGTGGTAGAAATACTCAAGAAAAAAGAAGGATACTATGAATTGAGTGTTTGTGTCCCAACAAAATTCACATGTTGAAGCCTAACCCCCAAAGTGATGGTATTAGGCGGTGGGGCCTTTTGGGAGGTAATTAGGTCATGAGGGTGGAGCCTCATGAGCTAGACTGGTGCCTTTATAAGAAACACAAGAAGAGATGACTGTTCTCAGCTGTGTGAGGATACAGGGAGAAGACATCTGTTTCCAAGCCGGGAAGTAGGCTCCTTCTAGACACCAGATCTCCTGGCACCTTAATCTTCGATTTCCCAACCTCCAGATCTGTGAGAATAAATGACTGTTGTTTAAGACACTAAGTCTGGTATTTTTACTAAAGCAGCCCGAACGAAGACAGGGCAAACATGAAACTCAAATTTCTAATGTTGATATTGCTGCCTTAAAGTTTCAGAGTCTCCACAGTATACTCTGCTCTTATGATGTGGCTACTATAGAATATATTCCTTTTAAATTATCAAGATGCACCCCTATGTTTATTGCAGAATTATTTACAATAGCCAAGATATGGAAGCAACCCAAGTGTCCATTGATAAATGAATGGGTAAAGAAGATGTGGTATATATATTCCAAATGGAATATAACTCAGCCCTAAAAAAGAATGAAATCTCGCCATTTGCAACAGCATGGATGGATCTAGAGAATATAATTCTAAGTGGAATAGGTCAGTCAGAGAAAGACAAATACCATTTGATTTCACTCATATGTGGACTTTAAGAAACAAAACAAAGAAAAAAGAGACAAACAATACAACAGATTCTAAAATATAGAGAACAAACTGGTGGTTACCAGAGGGGAGGTGGGTGGGGAGACGAGTGAAATAGGTGAAGGGGATTAAGAGTACACTTATGATGAGCACTAATATATGGAATTACTGAATCATTACATTGTATACCTGAAACTAATATGACACTGTTGTTAGTTATACTCGAATTTATTTTTTATTATTTTTTATTTTTTAAAGATTTTATTTATTTGACAGAGAGAGAGACAGCTAGAGAGGGAACACAAGCAGGGGGAGTGGGAGAGGAAGAAGCAGGCTCCCCGCAGAGCAGAGAGCCCGATGCAGGGCTCGATCCCAGGACCCTGGGACCATGACCTGAGCCGAAGGCAGACGCCCAACGACTGAGCCACCCAGGCGCCCCTATACTTGAATTTAAAAAGTGATTTGCAAAAAATTTAAAAAAAAATTACCTATCAAGAGAAAAACAGGGGTGGGGCACCTGGGTAGCTCAGTCATTAAGCGTCTGCCTTTGGCTCAGGTCATGATCCCATCGAGCCCCACATCGGGCTCCCTGCTCCGCAGGAAGCCTGATTATCCCTCTCCCACTACCCCTGCTTGTGTTCCCTCTCTCGCTGTGTCTCTCTCTGTCAAATAAATAAAATCTTTAAAAAAGAAAAAAAGAGAAAAGCAGGGGCACCTGGGTGGCTCAGGTGGGTTAAGCATCCGACTCGATTTCAGCTCAGATCACAATCTCAGGATTGTGAGATCGAGCCCCACCATCAGGCTCAGAGCTCAGCATGGGGTACACTTAAGACTCTCCCTCCCTCTCCCTCTGCCTCTCCCCACCATGCTCTCTCTCTCTCTAAATCAATCAATTTTTTTAAAAAAAGATTTTATTTATTTATTTGACAGAGAGCACAAGCAGGAGGGAGTGGCAGGCAGAGGGAGAAGCAGGCTCCCCACGGAGCAGGAAGCCTGATGCGGGGCTTGATTCCAGAGCTTGAGCCCAGGACCCTGGGATCATGACCTGAGCCAAAGGCAGACGCTTAACCGACTGAGCTACCCAGGTGACCCAAAATCAATCAATGTATAAAAAAGAGAGAGAGAGAGAGAGGAAAACAGTATCTTTAGCACAGATATATAACATGCACTTTACTCAAAATTTCATTCATAATTGGTACATACATGTACCTTTGATGAAAAATGTTACGTTCTCTTGTGTACATGAGGTACCTATAAAATTTACATTTCAGCAACTTTTGTGCAACGGTTTTTGAATTTGGAGCTTATGATAAAGCTAACCATACAAAAGGGGGTCTTTAGTGCTGTGCAGCCATCTTACGTTCCCATAGTCCATTGTCTTTTCTATACTCCCAGATGACCATTCAACAAATACTCATTCAACAAGTATTTATGGAGCACCTACCGTGCTCCAGGCAGTGTTCTAAGTGTCACAGATATATCAGCAAACAAAAGAGGCAAAGATGCCTACTCTCATGGACCTTACACACTAGTGACAACAGGCAAATGAATGAATTATTACAGCAAGGAAGGAGACACAGGGTGGTCAGGGAAAACCTCACTGAGAAACTGACATAAGTAAAGATACAGTACATGAGGGAGTGAGTCAAGCAGATATGCAGGGAAAGATCCTTGCTTCGAGGGAACAGCTAGCACAAAGCCCTACAGCAATGTATGCATATGAGATACATGTACAAGAGGATACAGAGGAGCCTTGTGATAACTCTGTGCTGGCCAAGCATGGGCTGAGCCCACTTATAGGGCAACTTTTACCCAAAGTGTGGGCTTTGAATTCTCAGTTCCAAGTTCAGTGCATATGTATTTACAAAAACACACAATTTTCTACTTCTTTTTCTCTTACTGTTTTTTGAAAATATCAAGTCAAATGCTTATTTCATCTTTATGATAAAAATAGTCCAAACTACAAAACTATAGCTTTGAAAAATATATAGCATATACTTTATCCCAAACGTTACCCTGATAACATCATCTTTCATTTTCACAATTTCTTTAAAGGTCTTCTATTATAATTGTGTCATAATTTCTTCTTTGGCCTAAGTATTATTGAAAAGAGTATTAAGAAGCTGGAAATTTGTGTTTTATTTTATTGCTTTCAAGTATCATTATCCTCTGGCCTAACAATTTGTCCTTTAAAACTGCTGTTTTCTTTGCATTAGTTGATTTGCTTTGTAATTCAATATATGGTTAATTTTTATTTTCTTTTCAATTCTTTAGTCTATGTAAGGCAAATTTTGTTACATTTTCCTTTGAAATTGAGTGTGAAGCTCTCATTAAATTAGAGAGTTTTGGACATCATCATTGTAAAACCCTTACACTATTAAGTATTAAAACCACTGTATCTGACTTCAACATTCTAATTTAGGCTTTCTGCTCACCAATTCTGTTAACCTTCAGCCTTCCTCCCTTGTTGAATATCAAATCATCCAATGCTGATCAACACTAAACCAAACAGAAGCTAGTCCTTTACACAAATCCCACAATTCTTCATTTACATGTCATACTGGTTAGTAGTTAAGAAAGGCTGCTTCACATTCTATTCTGATGGTAAAAATGTCACCAAGTACTCAAGACTGGCTTTAAAAACCACTCTTGATTCAAGTGTGCATGCACATGTGTGTTCCTAACTTGCTTCACAAAACTTGCAGGTATCATTAAATGCTAATTCTTTAAAACATTATTTACAATATTTATTAGACAGAATTACAACAGCAAAATGAGCATGTACTGGTTTAAAATATGGGTGTAATGCAGCCTGAAAGGTCTTCAAATATTAAGTTCTGTAACCTAAATTAATTCTTTTTTTTTTTTTTTAAAGATTTTATTTATTTATTTGACAGAGAGAGAGGCAGCGAGAGAGGGAACACAAGCAAGGGGAGTGTGAGAGGGAGAAGCAGGCTTCCTGCGGAGCAGGGAGCCCGACACGGGGCTCGATCCCAGTACCCCGGGATCACGACCTGAGCCGAAGGCAGACGCTTAACGACTGAGCCACCCAGGCGCCCCAGTAACCTAAATTAATTCTTTCCTGCTAATCAGTACAACAGAACCTACACTCTAAATACTAAAGTTACATCAAATAAGTAGTGTAATTTAAAATAGTAAATCACTAAATAGGTGAAAATAAACATACCTCCCATTTTTGTCATCTTCATGAATAAAGGAAGGCATGGTCTGTCTGCAAAAATCTCACTTTGATGAACAAGGCATTCCTTTACTACATCATAGCCATTTAAAACCACAGCTGATATACCTCCAAGATCTAAACTGAAGATCTTTGAGAAGAAAAGAAAAACAACATTTAAATGACAAAATGGAGAAATATAACTATGGAAATCCACCCGTGCTAAGCCCAGTTCTCCCAGTATTTGTTACTTCCCTGAAAATGGAAGGATTTATTATTCAACTGACAATGTTTTGAGTGCCTTCTCTCTACAAGGCATAGCAAACACGATTTCATTACCCGGTTAGTGCCTAAAGACATAATCTTATAAATGGTATAAGGAAGAGAGTACTGGGCTCATTAAGCCTGGGTTCTAGTTTAAGCTTTGTCATTAAACAAATATAGGACCCTGGGCAGAACCCTTAACCTTTTTGGCTTCAGGGTTGCCACAGAAAATATGATACTTGATTCAGATGCTCTTTTAAGATTCATACCAACTCAATGCATTCAATGAGCTCTAGGAATCTCTTTTTATTTCCAAGATAAATGAGGAAGCAGCACCATCTATATATTATTACTCCAGGCTTAGATAGGGGAGGGAATTAACTGAGAGATAAATTTGAAGTATAAACATGTTATAATTAGGCTCATTTGTATTTGGGTCTCTGAATTCCATGAAGTTAACAAAGATGGCCCCTAAGGGAATCTGACCCTGGAGAAAAGGCATTTACCACATAGGCACAGGCGGGTGCCCCTCAGCTAAAGGGAAGGCAAGACAGAAGATCCATCCTATGCCTTGCTGGAGCTTCTCATGTGCTTCACGTCAGGTTCACTTACAATAGAACACCTCCTGTAGTCTATTCTAGCTAGTCCAATGAGGGAACAATGCTACTTTATCAGTGGGGTGCAAAGACTGCTTATCTTCATCCTCTCAGGGCCTGGCTGAGAGCTTTTTAGGGCCAAAATACTGAGTCAACTCTCATCTCTTTGCAAATAAGTAGAGCAGATTTAACTATGGCTTACAATACTTTGGGGGGGAAAAACCCAAATAGAAGTTTAATGGAAAACATAAGTTCAGCAGAAGTAATTACAGGAAAAAAACATGATGAAGACCTCCAAGTAGTAGCAGAAGCAACCCACTTAACAACGGAGTCTTTGGCAAAGGAATAGGCTCTGCCGACCAAGCAATAGGAACATCCAGAACCTTGGGGAAGTAGCATGGACTGCGCGTGACAAGCAGTGGTATTAGTCAAAAGTGGCAGTGTAAGAGTTTCAGTGCCAAGAGAATGGCTACCAGCTGAGCAAATGTGGGGCTCTTTCAGTTCCCAAAGCAGTAATGGAATGGTCTTAAAGTCGTTTCCCAGAAGTGTAATTTTAACAGATAGAAAGTGAAAATGCCTCCTCTTGTGTGTCTTCTCTAATCTCAATACTCTCTACTCTAACACTCTTGACACCAGCTGTATGGGTTTTCCACACCTCAGCAATTCTGGGACACCAGCTAGGTGTCCTAGAATTTAACTCAATTCTGACACTACCTACCTGGAGATCCCCCAAGTTAAGAGCTCAGTCCCACAGGACTGCTCCCTATCTCTACTTCAGATGCCATTCCCAAGTCCAGGTGCTTCTAACCAACAGGCTATAAATCAGAGGTTCCCACGACCTCTCCTCCTTGGGTCCCATTAATATGCTAGAGTGGCTCAGAGAATTCAGGAAAATAATTACTAGATTAACAGTTTATTATAGAAGGATACGACTCAGGAACAGCTATATGGAAGATATGCATAGGGAAGGTATGGGGAAAGGGGAGGGGAGCGGAGCTTCCATGTTCTCCCCAGGCATGCTCTCTATCCTCTACTCACCTCCACCTGTTCACCAACATGGAAGCTCTCTGAACCCCGTAATTCAGGAATTTTTATGGTAATAATTATGCTTTATTACCTAGGCACAATTAATTACATCGTGGGCCACTGGTGACTGCTTCAACTTCCAGCCCCTCTCCCTTTCCCAGAGGTAGTGGGGGTATGACTGAAAGTTCCAACCCTCTAATCATGATTAGTTCTCCTGGCAATAAACTCCCATTCTAGGGACTGTCCAAAAATTCCTTCAAGGTAAACTCAGGTGTGGTTGAAAGCGGTTTGTCATGAATAACAAAAGACACCTTCATTACTTTTAACACTTAGGAAATTCCATGGAAAGGAACAAAAACCAAATATGTATTTATTATAAATCACAGTATCACAGCAGGAAAGGATGGTATCAGTGAATAGGCACCTGTTCTGATGCAGGACAACAAGACCGATGGAGGATGGTAGAAGACCCTGGGATTGAAAGCTGTGTTAATATGGAGCAAGAACAAACAGGAGTCATATTGCAGGGTAAAGCTATCAGGTGTGGACAGTATGGATTACAAAGACCAAGGAGGAGCCATGGTTTGCGCAAGTTGTTATACAATCCACCTTGACTCAAAAATTTGGTCCCTATTTGAGGGTAAAACTGGGGAAATTGTCATTTGAACTAGCATCTATTCTGGTATATGCTGTTTTCAAGGACTTTTGGTAAAGGTCTGTGAAACACTTTCCTTCCCTTCTAGAAGTCAGTCTGTGATCATCAAGTTTCTTCCCCTCCCTGCAAACCAGCTCTGCCCACAATTTTTCAGTCTCAGGTAATGAGCACTCCATTCATCCTTCCAGCTGTTCAGGACCCAAACTACTGCCTGTGTCGACTCTATTTTTCTCCCCAGCCCCACATCACTGCTTAGAGTCACGTTGCTCCTATTTTCAGAATATAAACAGGAGATGGCAATTTCTTACCCTTCCATCCCTAACACTCTGATCCAAGCCACCTTCATTTTCCCTCATGTTATCACAACAGCCTCTCAACTTGTCTCTTTATAGGTGATTCTCAATATTACATACTCCTGATTCATGGCCTTTGTGCGTGTTCTTTTGGCCTGGAATTTCTTCCCCTAGTTATTCCTAGAGTTTACTCCTTCATTTCCTTTAAGCCTTTGCTCCAATGTCTTCTTTGCAGTAAGGCCTGCTCTACCTCAGTTAAAATTCTACCCCTTAGCCTTCTCCATCTCCCTTCCCCTAATTTAGTTAACTTCACACTCTGTACTCTGATGTATTATATCATTTACTTATTCTATTTATATTGTCCATCTCCTCCCCGTCCACCTCAGCCCCCAGGAGAACATAAGCTACACCAGGACAGGGATTTTTACCACTGTTTTGTTTACTACTATATCTTCACACCTAGCACAGTACGTAGCAGATGCTGATAACTGCTAAGTATATGCTGAATTACTGAATAGTGGTGAAGACATACATTTAAGTATACTATTACACAACACCATGGGTGAAGGGCTAGTAAGAGAGGGATGTGAAAAGTGCCATTGATGAAAACTGATAAACACTTTTCAACCTTTGCTTGGGCTGTTTTCTCATTTGAAATGCCTCCCTTGACTGCCATACTGTCCAAACCATACCATGTCTTTAGGGAATATCCTCTACGAAGCCTTTCTTGGTGCACTCTCCTTCTGTTTATTCTGGGGATGCAAGACTGTTTCAATATTCAAAAATCAATCCAAGTGATGCACCACATTAACAAAATGAAAGATAAAAATAATATGATCACTTCAACAGATGCAGAAAAAGCATTTGAAAAAATTCAACATCTGTTCACAAGAAACCTCTCAACAAAGTGGGTTTAGAGGGAATATACCTCAATATAATACAGACAATATATGACAATCCCACAGCTAACATCATACACAATGGTGAGAAATTAAAAGAGTTTTTCCTTTAAGATCAGGAACAAGACAAGGATGTCCACTCTCACCACTTTTATTCAACATAGTACTGGTAGTCCTAGCCACAGCAATCAAACAATAATAATAATAAAAGGCGTCAAAATTGGTAAGAAAGAAGTAAAACTATTTGTAGATGACATGATACTATACATTGAAAACCCTAAAGACTCCACCAAAACACTATTAGAAGTAACAAATGAATAAGTAAAGTTGTAGATCACAAAATCAATATACAGAAATCTGCTGCATTGCCATAACTAATAATGAAGTAGCAGAAAAAGAAATTAATAAAACAATTCAATTTATGGTAGCACCAAAAATAATATCTAGGAATAAATTTAACCGAGGAGGTGAAAAACCTGTACTCTGAAATCTATAAAACACTAATAAAAAAAAAAAAATTGAAGATGACACAAATGGAAAGATATTCCATGTTCATGGATTGGAAGAACCAATATTGTTAAAATGTCCATACTACCCAAAACAATCTAAAGATTTAATGTAACTGCTATCAAAATACAAACAGCATTTTTCACAGAACTAGAAATCCTAGAACAAATAATCCTAAAATTTATATTATATAAAAGACCCTGAAAAGCCAAAGCAATCTTGAAAAACAAAACTGGAGGTATTACAATCCCGGATTTCAAGATTTATTACAAAGATATAATAATCAAAATACTATGATCCTGGCACAAAAATAGACACATAGATTAATGGAACAGAAAAGAGGGCCTAGAAATAAACCCACGATTATATAGTCAATTAATCTACAACAAAGGAGGCAAGACTATGCAATGGAGAAAAGACAGTCTCTTCAATAAATGGTGCTGGGAAAACTGGATCAATACATGTAAAGAATGAAACTGGACCATTTTCTTACACCATATAAAAAATAAACTCAAAGTGGATTAAAGACCTAAATATGAGTCCTGAAACCATAAAAATCCTAGAAGAGAAGATAGAGAGTAATCTCCTAGTCACTTCCTTAGCAATTTGTTTATGGATAGGTTTCCTCAGGCAAGGGAAACAAAAGCAAAAATAAACTATTGGGACTACACCAAAAGAAAAACTTTTACACAGCAAAGGAAACCATTAAAAAAACAAACAAAAACAACAACAAAAAAACCTGAAAAGGCAACCTACTGAATGGGAGAAGGTATCTGCAAATGATATATCCAATAAGAGTTTGATATCCAAAATATATAAAGAAATTGTACAACTCAACACCAGAAAAATAATCTAATTAAAAATGGGCAGAGGACCTGAATAGGCATTTTTCCAAAGAAGACATACACATGTCGTAAGACACATGAAAAGATGCTCAACATCACTAATCATCAGGGAAATGTACATCAAAACCACAATGAGGTATCACCTTATACCTGTCAGAATGGCTAGTATCTGGGGTGCCTGGGTGGCTCAGTTGATTAAGTGTCCCTCCTCTTGATCTCAGCTCAGCTCTTGATTTCAAGGTTGTAAGTTCAAGCCCCAAGTTGGGCTCCATGCTGGGCATGGAGCCTACTTAAAAAAAAAAAATGGCTGGTATCAAAAAGAAAAGAAATAATAAGTGTTGGCAAGGATATGGAGAAAAAGGTACCCTTGTACACTGTTACTGAAAACGTAAATTGGTGCAGCTACTGCAAAAACAGTATGGAAGTTCCTCAAAAAATTAAAATTAGAAATAGTATACAGGGGCACAGGGGTGGCTCAGTCAGTTAAGTGTCTGACTCCTGGTTTTAGCTTAGGTAGTGACCCCAGGGTCGTGGGATCAAGCCCTGAGGCCAACTCTGTGCTCAGCAGGGAGTTTGCTTCCCCTCTCCCATTGCCCCTCCCCCAATGGCGTGTGCCCGTGAACACTCTCTCTCTAAAATAATCTTAAAAAAGATAGCATACAATTCAGTAATTCCACTACTGGGTATTTGTCTAAAGAAACTGAAAACACTATTTCAAAAAGATATATGCACTATGTTTATTACAGCATTATTTACAATAGCCAAATATATGGAAGCAATCTAAATGTCCATCAATAACATGAATGTATGAAGAAGATGTGATATAATGTATACATATATAATGGAGTATTACTCAGCCATAAAAAAGATGAGATCTTACCATCTGTGACAACATGAATGGACACAGAGACTATTTTGCTAAGTGAAATAAGTCAGAAAGAACCTAAAAACAAGGGCGCCTGGGTGGCTCAGTCAGTTAAGCGACTGCCTTCAGTTCAGGTCATGATCCTGGAGTCCCGGCATCGAGTCCCGCATCGGACTCCCTGCTCAGCGGGGAGTCTGCTTCTCCCTCTGACCCTCCTCCCTCTCGTGCTCTCTGTCTCTCATTCTCTCTCTCTCTCAAATAAATAAATAAAATCTTTAAAAAAAAAAAAAAGAATCTAAAAACAAAACCAACAAACAAAAGCAGAAACAGACCCAAAAATACAGAGAACTGGTGGTTGCCAGAGGAGAGGGGTGGGTGGATGGACAAAATAGATGAAGGTGAGTGGGAGGTACAAGCTTCCAGTTATGGAATAAGTCATGGGAATGAAAGGTTCAGCATAGGGAATATATGAAAAACATCTTCCTATTCTGCAAGACAGCATTTCACATAATTGGTTTATTTTTTTTTTTTTTAAAGATTTTTATTTATTTGACAGAGAGATAGCGAGAGCAGGAACACAAGCAGGGGGAGTGGGAGAGGGAGAAGCAGGCTTCCCGCCCAGCAGGGAGCCGGATGTGGGACTCGATCCCAGGACATCAGGACCTGAGCCGGAGGCAGACGCTTAACGACTGAGCCACCCAGGCGCCCCACATAATTGATTTAAAGATACTTTTTATGTTATAGGCCTAATAAATTGTTTTGCAATTAATAACCAAGAACATTTGAGTAGTTTACTGTTTCTAGTTATTATCATTACTCATGAGGCAAAATTAAAATTCAGAGAAAAGTTACACTCAATTCCTGGAGAACTGGAAGGTTGACAATAAAATATAAGAATTATATAATTTGCTTTACGTAAAACCACTTTCCCTTTAACAATGTCAACCATGAGAGCGGTGCAAGAACCTAAGATAATTCTCGTAAACACTGGTTCAAATAAAGACTTAAGCCCCAACCTGAAATACCACAATTGCCAAACAGCAACACCATACTATTCCTTCAAAGCACTCACAATTTGTGGTCGATATTTAGAGTTGCTCTCTCTCACTGGGCTCTAACTCCCTAAAGTCAGGTAGTGTCTGCCTTCCTCGCCTCATCCCCAGCACCTGGCCGAGCCTGGCAGCTTGTTGTTGCTGCAGAGGCATGAAAGGATTCAATACAAAACAGGTGAGCTCAGCCAGGGCCAATGCTCTGGAAACTTCTGCCTCCTTCCGAGGTTAGGACATCCTTCCAATCGCACGCGTGAGTTCTGGCCTTTTCCCCTACAGGGAGCGGCGGTGCGGCTGTGTGCAAGTCCCTCAGCATTGCTGTGCGGCACTTTCCTTCTCTGCACAGTGCGAAAGGCCGGAAGTGGCTGAGCCGGACGGTTGCGAGTTTACGTCAGGGCACCTTGGAAGGCAGGCTGGCCCACAGCAGCGCAGTCCCAGTGTTTGCTATGAGGATGTTCCTGGCCAGTCAGGCCGACCCTGCTCACTTCGCTGTAGGACTCCGCACCGATTTTTAGTCATTAATTCATTCGCTCTTTCATTATTTTCCAGAGACCATCTTGGCCAGGGGCCTTACCTGCGCTTTCTCATCCCCATAGCAGACGCCTAGAGCAGCTATCCTTAGATGCAAACATTTAGGAACGTCCTATTAAACATTAATCTGGACCTAGAACTTGGATGCCCCAGTTTCGCGAGAAGCCACGGGTAGAACCGCACACACGTCTAGCTCCCACCGGCTGCCAAGAAAACCCCTCCAAACCACAGGCTTCCCAAAACAGCCCGGGGCCCCACTGCGCAGGCGCGGAGCACAATCTTGGCGCCCTCGGGGCCCATGCGCAGGCGCGCGAGCACTACCAGAAGATCCCGCCTGATCCCGCTAGGCGTCGGAAGGGTGGAGGTCCTGGCTGGGCGGGGTTCCCCTAGAGGGGCGCGGCCTCCAGGACTCCTACCCCCCGACTGGGGAAGCCTGTTCCCTCCAAGTCGCTAGTACACGGAAGGGAAGTCTAGACAGGTCGGGCCCAGAAGCGGCCAAGTCCACCCCTGAGGAAGGCCCGGGCCCTCCCAGCCCGCAGCCCGTCGGGCTGTACCTCGCCATACATCTGGCTCTGCTTTCTCATGTAGACGTGGGGGAGCTCGCCCGAGGCGGCCAGCGAGTAGATGTTGCCGATAAATGGCAGCCCCGACGGCCCGGGAGGGAAGCCAGTCGGCCGCCTCTGCTTCAGCAGCTGGCGGATCCCCAGCGCGAAGAGCAGCAGAAAGAGCGCGCCTCCGAGCGCCGTGGCGCATGCCTCAGCACCCAGAGGGTCCCACATAGCCCGGCCGGGGGCTGGTGCTACGAACCCCGGCGCCTTGGAGCTGGTTCGCCCTCCTGCCCCGCCGCATTCCTATTGGTCGGACACCCCGAGGTCCCGCCCCCGTTCCCTGGCCTTTGGTTGGCTGCTCCGGACAGTTACTCCTGGCTCTGTGGGGCTCAGAGTCTAGGTGCAGAGGCGGGTGCCACCCTTTGGATCTGGGCGTGGCTCCAAGCAACCTCGAGCCTCTGGACTTTTCCAAGGTGTTGACCCCAGGGCTTGGGGAACGCTTCTGCACAACCTCCGTCACTGGGCTAGGAGGATCCTTCCTCCCTTGCGGCCAGCCCTTTCTGAAGGTGAATTTTTAGGAACTATTAAATAAGGCACTCTTTTTTTTTTTTTTTTAATTTTTTATTTGTTTATTTGACAGAGAGAGACACAGCGAGAGAGGGGACACAAGCAGAGGGAGTGGGAGAGGGAGAAGCAGGCCTCCCGCTGAGCAGGGAGCCCGATGCGGGGCTTGATCCCAGGACCCTGGGATCATGACCTGAGCTGAAGGCAGACACTTAACAACTGAGCCACCCAGGTGCACCTAAATAAGGTACTCTTAAATAACCTATTTAAGAGTGGAAAAACTGCAAAGGTTATCAGAACTCAGTCTTGAACTAAACCTGATAATCTTCCGAATTAACACTTGAGAACTGACTCATCAATATTAAAAAAAAAGATCTGTCCTCTTTTACTCATTTGTTCCTTCATCATTATGAGGCATTTTTGTATGTGTTCCCCTAAGAATTATGATTTCACAATATTTAGGTAACCTGAGTTAATCATGTATGTTTTCACTCCTTTCTGGTCTTCCCAAACTGGTTACTTCTTGGCAATCATTAGTCTGCAGTTGCCTAGGAATGGTACTTGATGTGGGAAACAAAGAAGGAAATGTAGAGAAAATTAAACGTCCTTATAACCTGCAGCCCATTGACAAATATTTGAGGCTGGAGGAGTGTAACATTCTTCCAGGAAACTCCCAACTTTCTTAATGTTAATGCCTTGCTAGAGGGAAGAATAACCTTGGTTTGACAATAGCAAGGCCTCAGGTATCCCGAGAGTCTTCTTTAGCATATGAACATCCTTTTGGAACTTCCCTTATCTTTACTTCCTCCAACCTCAAAGTGTATAATCAGTTGCTCCTCCCAATCCGCCGGGGCAGTAGCTCTTTGTGCCCAGGGGTCCTTTAATTAAAAAAAAAAAAATCACCTTTTTGCACCAAAAACATTTCAAGAATTCTTTCTTGGCCGTAAGCTCCTGACCCCAACAACACTACTCCAAAAACATGCCATTTGGCGCTGGAACATGGGGCTTTGAGTCTTTTCATCTGGACTCTGAGCAGCGGTGCCAACTTGGTGAGTGTTTTCCTCTACTTACTACTTAGTTTTCCGCTACCTTTACTCTCATTTCAGGGGCTTTTCAAGGAGTACAGTCTTATTAGAACGCTTTCATGTGGATTGCTCAGGCTGCAATCATCTAGCCCGTGGCTACTCTATGGGGAGGAGAAAGCCTGCCTTCTGGCTGATAGTAACCTGGCCTGAATGGTAATAAGACCCAGAAACTTGATGCCCTCTCTATTCCTGTCCTTATACAAAGTTGTCTGTCTTGGGCATGCGATGGCCACCTAAGTCACCAGGACAGCTGTCAATCTTAAGACTCCCGTGTGTTCCTCCTTATTGGTCTAATGTGATACCCTCCACATCTGTAGTCTAGGCACTTCTGGCCACAAGACCCTCACTGGGAGCTGGCCAAAACCGGTACCTGATTGAATTAAAACCCAACTGGGGAACATTTCCTAGCGAAGTTGGCTATAAAGACTTCATATGTTGGGATGTCGCTTAGAGCATGATAATTTCTATCTTTACTGTTCTCTGTCAATGTCCTCTGCTAACTACTTAAGTTACAAAATTGGGTACTTTCCTCTTGTAAAACTTTTCTAGTGTCTTCCATGGGTTAAAAATGGTGAGTTCTTTGTGGCCCAAACTCGGTCCATATGCCAGCACCCACTATAGTCTCGAATGTGATGGGAAAGCGGGGGCGGGGGAGGAGGGCAGGCAGGACCTTTACGGCTGGCGGTGATCTTAGTGATTTTGTCTGAGGGACGCTTCCAGTCGCTTTGACACCAGGAACCTCTGACCTATCCTGCGCATGGGGCACCACCCAGCAGTCGGGGGTAATTTTCTTGGTAATGGACCTTCTTTTTTCAGTCCCCAAGGACTCTCCCTGGGGATGCCTTTTAACCCACTAGAAACAATTCGGATTGTAAGATTTAAGGAAGCGAAGCTTGAAAATCTGTGTCAGCTCATCTGTTCAAGCTGACAGGCTTTAGGACCGGGAGACCTCTTTCTCTGCACTCTTGGCTTTTATCTGCCTTTCCCTCCCCACCTATTTCTTCACCACCTTGGATGCAGCCTGCCTAACTGGTTCCTACACCATCTGGGTGCCTCCGGCACCATTGGCTCATCCTACCCTCGCCGTTGAGGAGCGAAGAGCACCCCCTTGAACTTAACACCACCCACTTCAGATTTCCCCACCAGGGTCCCCAGTAAAAACTAACAGTGCGGAGCAAATTGGTTGACTTTTAAGTGGACCCAGGTGGAACATAATTCGGTATTTAAAGTAATTGAAACTTTTTATTCTACCAAGATTTACTAAAGATCAAATAAGCTCATGTTATCTCTGTTGCAATTTGTTAGCAAAAAGATGATTTAAAATGATGGTTAATTTTGTTTGTCTGTTTTCATGGGTAATTGTTAAGATAGCTTTCAAAGTCTTTGGCAACCTGAAACTTTAAAGTTTTGCTTAGATAATAAATAGGATTGAATTCATTGGACATCTAGGCCTTTTTCAAATGAGATAAAATACTAAAGCACTGATTGCTGAATGTAGGTTTGTGCTTTTGACTTCTTATTGCAAAGAAACTAAGGATATTTGAGTCTGTTTGAAAACATGCTTTGTGCTTAATAGATTCATAAATTTGCCAGCTAAAGAATTCTGGTGTGACAGTTCACAATTGGTTACTACTTAGTTTTCACTGAGACTAAGGTCTCTAAGAGCTAAAATTCTGATAAATGTAATTAAGACTGATGAGAATAAGGGAAGCAACTGAATGAAAAAGTTGTAGGTTTATGAGGGAAAATCTTTGGAAGGGAATTTTATATGTGGTCAGGACTAAAGTTGAATGGATTTTAAAAGTACGGTGGTGTAAGACTGAAATTCTGCTTTTCTCTCTTAAAAAGACAAAGTTTTCTTGAATTGTTGCTCTATGCTTGATAAGAAAATGTAAACAAAGTTTTTTCTCTTTTGTCTGCCTAGAAAACCAGTTTCTAGGTTTTGTCTTTGATCACTTGGTTAAAACTTCTCAATATTAAATGAGCTAAGTTTTGCTAATAACTATATAACCCTACGCATTTGCCTTTGGAATCTCTTATTGTAACCTTGGTTAAATGAGTAAGTTTTGTAATGATCTGTAATCTTATTCAGGCATGTGTTATAACTTTGAGGTTTTTAAACAAACTTCCCAAGATTTAAATTGTAAATGAAGTCTAATAAGCCTTAGGTTGTATTGCTTGGATAAATACTATAACTATCCTAGAGATGATAAGCAATTCCTAATGTTTTTTTTTTTATTCTTATGTTAATCCCCATACATTACATCATTAGTTTTAGATGAAGTGTTGCATGATTCATTGTTTGTGCATAACACCCAGTGCTCCGTGCAGAATGTGCCCTCCTCAATACCCACCACCAGGCTAACCCATCCTCCCACCCCCCTCCCCTCTAGAACCCTGTTTGTTTTTCA